CTTCTAAACTCTTTGCAAGGTTCATTCTATATCCGTTGGATATTCAAACTCGTTGGACATTCAGGCTCGTTGGACATTCCGTCTCGGTTGGATCTTTCGTCTCGTTGGACATTCAGGCACGTTGGACATTCCGTCTCGATTGGACCTTTCGTCTCGTTGGACATTCAGACTCGATGGACATTCCGTCTCGATTGGATCTTTCGTCTCGCTGTACATTCCGTCTCGCCTCTCACGTGACCGATTGGACATTCAGGCTCGTTGGACATTCAGTCTCGTTGGACATTCAGGCCATAAGCGCCAAGTCTCCCTTTGCGCTGGTCGATTCGCGTGACAGTGTCACTGCGCTCGGTTTTACAAAAATGAAAAAAAAAAATATTAAGAATTCTGACAAAAAAAATGTTCCCAAGGAATTCGTTACGTCAAAAATGTAAGGGAATTACTTTAAAATTACTCAAGAAAATATGTAATTATCCCGTTACTAAATTACTGATAAATGTAAGGGATTACAAGTAATTTCGTTACTTGAAACGGATTACGTACAAGTCTGCTCTAAATTAACCACTTTTTTTTTTTTTTTAGTAAGTGAGCAAGTTTTTTTCCCATCAACACTCATGGGGAACGGGCCATTGCGTGTGGGCAAAATTTAAAACAAACGCGTCCAACGCGTTTGTTTTAAATTTTGCTGCGGAAATGAGCAGACCAAGTTTGTACATTTCATTTTCCCCTATCAATAACAAGGAAAAACCAAAAAAAAAGAAAGAACATTGCAGCTTATCTAACATCGTGCGAAAACCGTTTCCGGTCTGAATGCATAAAGGAAGTAAGAATTATGCTGCAGTTCAAGCGGTGGTGTGCACCACTTAGAATGCAAAAACGTGACTAGGCTAGCCTTGGCTTGACTTAAGGGCGCGACACCGTCACGGTTCTCATAATGCCCCGGAGCGCTTGCTGGTCAAGCTGGCTTTTCCAGAAAGGTCCATTACGAGCAAGCGCTGGCTTGACTGTGATTTAGCACGTGTGTACTCTGATTTTTGTAAACAGTGAAAACGTATATTCCTGGCGTGCTTCCAACTGCACGCTCTGTTCACGCGAGTGGCAAGCGCTTGGCGACCGTAAGACACATTTTAGACGTAACAACTGAATGGTGTTTTTTACGTGTTCTCGGGTTTCCATCTTCTGGCAAAAACAAAAGAAAAAAACAACAACAAGATATTCAAATTCACGAGAAGAAATAATCTACAATTATTCTGTAATTCGTTTTTTCAAGTACCTCATGGGGGGGGCGGGGGGGGGGCGCTTCTTTTTAACGTCAAGTTACTATACCATGCCGTTAACGGCAAAGTGGTATTTGCGGCAAAATGAAGGAGGCCTTTAGAACGTTGATGGCCTCCTTTACACCGATGATGGTAACGAACGTTCATTTAGATTCTAGGTGTTGTCAGTGCGCCCCACGACGTCGGTGAGCTTGCCGGGTTGGTAACGAAAGCCTTCCTTAACGCATGCCTTGGTAGCCTCGGTTCGGGGTTTCGTCGGCCCAGCCGTCTCTTGCCAGCTGATTGACAACGACACTCGCAACGGCCGTCACGGCTCTGACCACCGTCGACTGCGTACTGGCGATATGATAATCGGTGGCGACCATGAATTGTAGCTTCCCGTTGCGACAAATCACAGCGCGATTCAATTGGTAGCTGCTGCTTGACGGTATTCAAAGTCGCCGTCTCTCGTCGCGCAGCTGGTCACACTGCAGTCCCCCTGAGGTTTTCGACAGGTGGTATTGGCGCCAGAATCAGTCGTCGTGTACACTATCGGATTTAGGCTACGAAGTACTTACACACCCGGTCACACAAAATACACACCAAAATTTCGGTTTCGCTTAGAGCGCACTGACGTGAAACCGACGGTACCGATTTTTAAGAGCGGCTTCTTTAAAAAGCTATTAAAGTAGCTAATGCACTTGTTACTGTATACAAAAACTAATAATCGGGGTTTTTTGGGCCTTACGCTAAATCCTCAATGTCTTTTGTTTGTTTGTTTTTTGCAGTCCTTGCTACGCAGTTCAGTTGTTTATGAAGTTATTTCGGAACCTTATTAAACCCTCCGTAAATGTTCGGGTCATCAGATCGACAGCAGTGTGCCGAACGAGTGACTTAGGTCTCATAATGCCTTTTGTGGACCGAATGGAGGAAAGACTACATCCTTTTTATTTGGAGTGTATCGCGAAGGCAACCTCGTGCTCGCGGAAAACACATTATTTCGCGCGTTGATCGAGCCATCGTTAAGCAACAAGCATGGCCGCCTTTTTTTTAGGTTTCAGAATCCTTCGAAAACCTTGAAAACTTCGAGCAGTCGATATTGAAATTTTAAGCACGAACACGTGGCCCCGAACGATGCTTGCACGAACGTTGGCTTCCATTGCGCAATTCCGCTTGCTCGACAGAGACGTTCAAAGGCTCTTGCAGCTCCCATGCTTGCACTAGCTCGCACACATGGTGAAGAAGAGACTAGGGTGTGTCAAGTGATGCCGAGGTTAATCTAGTTACGTGACTTCCGCTATGCGCTGCGTAGGTCACATGTGGTCATACTTCACTTTGTAGTAACGTTGCGAGCTCGAAAAGCGACAGTTATGGCAAACGCCTGCTTTCGTTGTTTGCGAACGTTCCCATGGCAACCGCGTGAATCTATCACACGTGCTGTGGCACCCCATGACGCACAATCCTGTGCGTCACGTGACATGACGCTACATCCAGGAGGCCGGCACGAGCGCTGATTGAATGCGAGTGCCGCGTCAGCGTTCGCGTGGGGCTCGTTTCTCACATGGTCACACGCGAACGCTTACGCGGCACTCGGTTGCAAGCGGCGCCCGTGCCGGTCACCCGGACTTTACGCCATGTCACGTGACGCGCAGTCTTGAAAGCTGATTAGGAGGAGCTGGCTGTGAAAGATGCGAGCACGAGGTACCTAGGAGGGTTCGTGCTTCCTCGTTGGTGTTTATAACAAGGATAGCACCCTAGGGCAGGAAACCGTAGTTCGGAAAATTCTTTTGCTCGAGCAAGCGCTTGCGCGGAGAAAGCTCTTTCGAAAACCAGGCCCCCGTGCCTGTGCCTTTGCCTGCACTCAAAGTCAAATTTTGGGCTAAAGCGTGTGTCCGCTATGTTGGTTACAGCGAGAACCAAAAACCGGCGAGGCTACGAACACGTCGCCTCGCCGGTCTTTGGGTCTTTGGGTATAGCGTAAAGCTATACCAACCCTTCGCTCGCTGTTGTTTGTCAGGATCGATGAGTGTGAGCCGGAGGTCTCGATGGTTAGCGAAACCTCTTCCAAATCGACAAGCAGAACAGGAATCGAGACGTAACAAAGTGGCAGCACACAGTATTGCCAGACATTGGTTAATTTCGCATATCGTGTGTTACACCAAAAAAATGGTGAAGGCTTGTTTCATGGGTTATCGTAGTCATTTATTTAGTCTAAGGGGTATCTATGCAAAGTACATATTTCTTTGCAATGCCATTTTAAGGTTTCACATTGCATCGTATGAAATTTTATTCAATGTTAACAGTTTCCGATAAAAATGTCACATTACTCCAAAAAGATGAACCATGTCCCTTGCAGCTCATAAAATCTTAAAATTATTTTATTAACTAAAAGCGCTTATTAAATCAATATTTAATATAAAATATAAAAAAATTTGGAAAAATGTATTAAAATAAGGATTCAGTACTTTGATACAGCAATATAATTCTTTGGCCTAGTTCCTTCTTGATTTTAAAAGGCATAAAAGATCCTAAATTAACAAGGACGAAAAAAGGGAAGAGAAACACGAGGCGCCTCGTAAGTGTTGCTTATTCGTAAAGATTATTCGTTGATTGTTAAATTCAAACTTTGTCTGAAAGGGTAACTGATGCCTCACTCAAAGTGTTCACCTTTATCCCGAGTTTCGCATGTACCTGCAGGTCTCAGCTTGTTTTGTCTTTTTATTTTTAAATAATCTAAAAGAGATTGCTCGACGGTATCCGGAAGATATTAAGTTTTTTGCGCTAGTCACGTAAAGGTGGTTGAAATGTTGTCATATTTGATAAAATTCCTGTAAAAGGTGCCTCCAATCTTTGTTAAATGAATTACAAATACCGATACGCAACTGCATGCAAACATTTCCCAAGTATGCATCACTGGTCGCGTCGTGGCGTCACACCCGGCAAGGAAGAGGTTTTGACGTTGACTTAATCCCGGTTTTTATCAACATGCTTAACGGTGCGTACAAAAATTGTGCGTAAAAAGATCACCGTAAATCTTGTCGTCCTCAGGACGACGTTGTTTCACTGAGAAAGCAGTCAAGAGGTTTCCTGGCTTTTTTACCATGATTTTGCGTCAGCGCTTCTGATGTTGAATGAAAGGAAAGCTGTAACCTTGAAACGTAGGGCTCCTCATCATTTATTGGTTAGAGTTTTCCTTTCATTCACTGTCATTCCTCACCAGGGGGATGTCCACCGAAAGGCTTACGTTCAATCTGAGTTGGTGGGCTTCGTTTGAAATAAAATTACTTGCGCGCAAGAAGATTTAAATTCGAATACATTTTTCCGGGATAATATTTCTAAAAGCAATGACGATACAATCTAGTTGTGCTGCGAAAAAAATTAATAGCCCACGAACCCTTTAACTTCATGCAACACCGGTAAACATGAACATCTACGGTCATGTTTAGTGAATGCTACAGTGAATGCTTATCGCGTTCTTTCTTTTTTTCTTTGATTATCTTTGATTCCCCTTCTTGCTTTGACATTGATTTCAACAAGGGGTCTCTCAAATTAAACAAAAAAAATAAGACGTCGGTAGCAGATTGAACTAGTCTAAGAAGATGTTTGCGGAATACACATACCTATACACGTAATGACAAAACATCTTTGGTCTGATCGCATGCCACACTGAATGAAAGTCGTGCATAGAAAATAGGCATTAGCAGCACAAATGCTTTTTATTTCCATTGGAAAGTGATACTCAAAATTTTAGGGTTCTTTGCACATTGGACCAGACTGCGTAAAATTCGGGTGCTTCACAGTTTTTCTGAAGTAATCTGTCACCTGAGAAACTCGCCAGTAACCAGCCGCGAATTGGAAATAACCGAAATATGTGCTTTTGCAATCTTCCCTGGTGTCCTCGGATTCCAAGTTAAACAGAGCCATACCGATTGCGATGTTCGGGAATTGCCTCGTTGCACTGCAGATCTGTCGAGTCAGATATGTAGATCGTGAAATTAGTGCATTCAAATAAAAGAGCTCAAACATCCTTTGTATTTGTGCGTTGCACAGGTCTTAGGTTTATATGCATCATTAAATATATTTCGAATGAATGCAGGAAATAGGATATCTACATTTTTTTTTTGTATTATTCCCGCAGTTTCAATGTCGGATATAACGAACCTTTGAAGTCAGAAACAGGTTAACAGCCGCGTAGGAGCTCCGCCACCAGTACGTAGTCCGATCTTTCATCCGGGTTTTGGCTATGTGGGCGAAAGCGTGCTATCAAGGCCAAAAAACTCGCGCTTGAAAGGCGCATATATGCGGGTTTTAACCTTTCAGCGACAATAGGTTCGTCTGATATGTAGAGCGGAGAAGAATATTGGCTTAAACGTGTACTCGTGAGCTATACAATTTCGGGGATTAATCTTTTTTGTTTTTTTTCAGTGTGAAATCAATGCAAGAAACATATGTAGAAATATGTGTGCGTGTTGTGGCAACTTCAGTAATACTAACAAACTGTCGACGTATTTCTGTGTGTACTACACGCTTGGCACGATGTTGGCCTTTATTTTTCTAAGCCCGATTTACTCAGAATAATTAATGAAAAAATTCGGCAAGGGCTATAGGGCGTTCCTCTTCACTTAAATCTCGATAGGCGGGAATAACTCAAACTTCATATGGAGATTCGTCGCAGCTGAAATATATATATTTGCTAGGATCTAAGTTGTAAAGCACTTTGGCAGAAGGCAACAGCTTTTGCTCTTCTGTGAAGGATTTTCATTTTCTTGCTGTCATTGCCATGTTGTATTATCATCGAAGTGGTCATACAATGGTTGAAGAACTGAGGATAAGTTGGGAAGAAAACGACAGCTGTAGTTGATGAGCCCAAGGTAACTTTGAAGCCGCTTCAAATCAACCGGTCCTGAAGATTTACGACAGCTTCTACCGTTTGGGAAGTTCGTTCTTCTAATTTAAATTACATGACTGAGATATTCCACACCAGAAGCCATGAACGTACATTTCTTTAGCTTGATTTTAGAACAGGCTTCCACTAGAGGGTGTAGTAGCTTTTGCGAGATTCTTGAGATGATCTTTGTCATCGAGTCCAGTCACGAGGATTTTATCAGAAACATGCGACGACGGGTGATATGTCCTCCAGCAGAATTTCAATCTCTCATTGGAAAGTGGCAGAAGCTCAAGATCAGAAATCGGGTGTTTTGAAAAGTCATTTTTAAATGTGAATGGTCACGAGGTATTTTACTTTTACGTATTTGAGGTACAGTTTAGTGCACTTGACACCACCCGGAAGTTTTTGTCACATGTCTACCAATCTTTGTACTGGGTATTTTTCGAGACTGGCTGCAGGACTTACAGTTGCCTTAAAATATCTGGAAACACTTACCGTCCTGTCAAGCATTAAAAGAGCCACGATTGGGGTTGCCCACTCGGATTTTCTTACAGGACAGGTAACTCCATCACGTTGTTCCTGCAGTTCATCTTCTACTGTGCGCTCAGGCGCAACCGAAATTTCGCCCCGTTTGAAAAACTCGGGGTATGCTCTCGCTTGAATAGCGATCTTTGTTTTATCACCTTTAAGCCTACCAAATCCGACAGAAATGACTTCTTTGTAATTTTCTAGAAAGGATTTTACCACGGAGTCTAGTTTCATGACATCGGCTTAACTCATTTTAAGGCCGTTGATTAAGTCTCTTCCACGTTGTGTGGACGTCTGATAACATGGAACATATAGAGGTAGCCTTGCTTCTCTGCTCAGAGATCGCACGTGCACGACGACGTTTCCTGGGAACCCAGAAAGGTCACCGCGATAACGTCTTAAGACGACGACAGGAGGCTCGCATTGAAGCTTATGGAATTGATCTTGAAATGTCCTTAGCCCGATAATGGAGGTGCTGGCTCCGGTGTCAATTTTCATTCGAGGTGTTTTTTCTGCAACTTACAGATTCGTCAGAAAGTGAGGTGAAGTCCAGGTAGATTTAACAACCACAAGTCATACGTCTTGGGTGCTTAACTCGTGAACTGCGGTTTAGAATTGCCCATAATGTGAACAAGAATGTTTAGGGCGATCTTTTCCCAGTCCAGGATCGTTGCTTTTGCCTGGTTGCATCTTGTATTTACATACGCTCGCATGATGCGCTGTCTTGTTGCAAGCGTTGCATTGTTTTTTTAAAGTTCTTGGAAACCGACGCCCAAGGATTTCAGCGAAGGGCCGGTCAGCACTTTCGGCCTCTTCAGTTTGCATCGCATCGTCAAGGCATCTTCATCGACATCGACAACGTCTCCGATCTTCAACAATAGCGCTTGGGAGAGCATTCACCTTCGTAGTGGGCATGGGAACAGCTGCACATGCGGATGGATAACACCCCTCCGTTCTTGCTCATGCAGATACTCGCTTTCCTTCCCCTGGCTGGCGGGGCGACATATCAGTGTCCGGCAGCAAACGTGTTTGCTACGTCGCCCGCGGTAACGCCCAAGGATTTCAGCGAAGGGCCGATCAGCACTTTTGGCCTCTTCAGTTCGCATCGCATCGTCAAGGCATCTTCATCGACATCGACAACGTCTCCGATCTTCAACAAAAGCGCTTGGGAGAGCATTCACCTTCGTAGTGGGCATGGGAACAGCTGCACCATGCTAATGGATAACACCCCTTCGTTCTTGCTCATGCAGGTTGGTTCTATTCCTTCTTTACATTCTAAGAAGTCAGACGACCTGTTACTTATTCTGTTCCCATGCGCACAAACGTTACTGCTTCTAGCATGTCAGTGTTTTGATGTTCTGAAACTATTATTGCTATCCGGGGATGTGGAAATAAATCCAGGTCCTATGTCGGATGCCCAGGCTAAGCAATTCAATGAAATGTTTTGTTTGTTACAACAGCTAAGCACTCGTTCAATCAAATTTGAGGAAGGACAGGCCGGCATAATAAGTACAGTGAACGAATTAAAGGCAAACCAGACGAAGATTGAAACTAGACTCAGCTCTATTGACGAGAGACTAGCGTCAGTCGAGTTTGGAGCACTGACGATTAACGAAGTTCAGCGGGAGCTAAGTGCCACGCGCCAGAACATCGAGCACCTTCAGGATGAAGCTGTTGTTTTTCGCTCTCGTCTTGATGAAATAGAAGACCGGTCACGTCGTGACAACTTCATATTTCATGGCATTGCCGATTCTCCCGCTGAAACTTGGTCACTCACTGAAAGAAAGGCTGTCAATGTTCTTTCCGATCTGGGAATTCCCTGCGAACACATTGCCCGCGCCCACAGATTAGGCTCCTTATGTAAAGATAAATGTCGGTCTGTTATCGTCAAATTCGAGTCATTCAAAACAAAAGATAGTGTCCTTCAGTCGAGAGCTGCTATCAAAGGTAGCGGTTTATCGGTCAGTGAAGATTTTTCACCGGCGACACGCCAAGCTAGATCTAAACTAATCGATTTTGGAAAATCAAAAAAATGCTGCGTTTAAACTAAAATATAACAAATTGCACACCAACAAAAAGATATACGCATACGATTTCACTAAGCACACCGTTTACGAGGTCGTTACCACTGGCGCCGTGCGGGCAGTTAATGACGAAGCTGAAAACAGCGGGGCTTCGGCATCGGCCGGGGCGACGTCCAGATAGGATTTTGGGGGGATTGGTTCAAGCCGCTGCCTCAAGGCACGTAATGTTCCTTTACTCTTTTGCAACATTCGAAGCGTCATGCGCTGCCGGGACGATCTTAGTTCAATTATTGAGTCCTCTGATTGCGAAATTATTCTGTTAACTGAAACATGGCTGTCTAGTAGAGTTTGGAGCAGTGAAATATTTACGTGCGGTAAGAAATTTAACATATATCGGCAGGATCGAGGTGAAAGAATGGGTGGGGGAGTTCTTATTGCTGTGGCCGATAGTATAATCTCAAACGTTGTCGATGTTTTAACTGACTTAGAAATGCTTTGGGTCAGCGTAACTGTAAACTACAAGCAATTAATTTTGGGTGTGTGCTATCGGCCACCGAAGGCTTCGTCTTCCTTTTGTGAACATTTGCATGATTCGGTTAATGGAATCGTTAGTCGGTTTCCCACGTCACAAATTGTTCTCCTCGGTAATTTTAATTTTTCTAGCATTAAGTGGTCTACTGCGCCGCCTACTGTACACCCATTTTCCTCAGAAGAAAATCACTTCATTAATTTATGTTCTGAGTTCAATCTTTCTCAACTAGTTGATCAACCTACACGAATTACTTCTACCTTCGCAAATATTTTAGATCTTCTGTTGACGACATGTCCAAACTTAGTATCATTTATTTTGTACCTGGCTGGTCTGAGTGACCACTGCTTACTACATATTGATTTAAATATACCTTTGCAAGCTACTTCTAATATTATTAAAACAATTCGGGATTATGGTAAAGCAGACTTTAACGCTATTAATAGTGAATTGGCGTTGTTTTTAGACACTTTTCTAAGTGTCTTTTTCAGGCGTTCAGTTAACGAAAATTGGAATACATTCAAACTAAAAGTAAATGAGCTCATTGAGTCGCACATCCCACTCAAAAGAATTTACTTGAACTCGAATGAACCATGGTTTACTAGAACAATCAGGAGACTTAGGAACAAGAAAAAACGTTTTTTCCGTGCCGCTAAGCGTGATCCCACAGCTCACCGATGGGACGCATACCATGCCTCTGCTGATTTGTACATGACAGCTGTGTGTAGTACGAAAAGTATTTCCTTTAATTGTACATTACAATCTAGGCTAATTAGTAACTCCCGCCAGTTCTGGAACACCACGAAAGAGAAAAGTAGTACAGTTGTAGAGCTCAGAGCCGATGATGGTAGCCCTATTTCTTGTGAAGAGTATGCCAATGAACTCAATGCTATTTTTGTCAGCTGTTTTTCTGACCTCCCTATGAGTAATAATCAAACATACATGTCCTATGACTATCTCCCCATGTACCCCATATCAATTAGTCCTGAAGGCATTG